CCCCAGTAAAAAAACCCAACAACAACAAAAACAAAAAACAAACAAACAAGCAACGACAAAAACAAACAATAGAAATAAAAATGAAGCAAATAGAATAAAATAACATAAGGAAATAAAATAAATGCAATAAAATTAAATGAAATAGAGCGAAATAAAATAAAATAAGTAAGAATTAAAAAGTATATAGATCAAAATGAAATACAAAATAAAATAAAATAAAACGGGAAAAACATGAAATAAAAAAAATAAAATGTAGACCTATTTTCAAACGGGGCGTCAAATAACACCTGCAACTACCAGGTCATTGCCACCAGTCACCCACTGGTGGACAATATCCTCCATGTTGGCAAGTACTGGACTAAAAAATATAAGATAAGATAGATAATACAGTCCATGCCGGCTTTAAGCACGGTCGTCGAGAGAAAGCTTAAGCGTGCTTAAAGCTGAAGCGTGCTTGAGAGCGAAGTAGACATTATCCAGAGGTTTTCAAGTAGAAAATTTCCCGTGCTATTTCCCTTGGTTTGTAAATAGGCCTATAGCGGTGCACTGTTATTTAGACTCCCGCCAAGGTAGTTTTTGTTCACTTGTTTGTTTTTGTTTTGTGGTCGAATGGGAAATGAAAACTTAATTTAGACGGCCAGTCACGACGATACAGCACACTATATAGGCCTACACACTGCCTGACTGAGCGTACCACTGCCCGCTGTGCCACTCATACCACCGCCTTCATCCCACCACGCGCGTGATACACAATCAGGATTAATGGATAGCGAGGGTCAAAGCTGAAATCGCAGCCAGCCTCCTTTTCTCGTCTCCCCGACTCTCTTAGTATAATATTTTTTTTTGGTCGTGTGTAGCTTTGCCCTAGGCCTAGGCTAGATCCTATGTCCGCGCGCGCGTCTGTGTGCATTTGCCTTTCTCTCCGCCCGTGAGAGTGTGTGTCCATCACTTGCGTTCTTTGTGTTTCTCTTGACACACTCCACTGCTGCGGTGTAGACTGTGTTCGAACTTCGATGGGTCATCATGAAGATATTGACTGTCTTGTAAATGAAGCGTGCTTGAAGCCGAAGTTACCGTGCTTAAAAGCGTGTAATTTATATAGCAAAAATTCGGTAAGAGCCGTTTAGCGTGCTTGAGTCCGAAACGTGCTTTAAGCCGGCGTGCTTAAAGCCGGCACGGACTGTACTTTATTGTCCCAGAAGGAATTTTTTCTTGGCAGTACAGGACTGTAAGAACGCAATATGCAAGTATACATAAAAAAAAGTATAAGCCTATATTACTCTCATTAAAATTCACTATGAAAAGAAAAGTAAAGCTTACAAATGTGCATATTGCTTCAGATGCATCATTCAATCACATGCAGGAATTTAATTACAAGACTTGTACAGTTATATAAATATCTACTCGGAAAGGCAATACACATTGATGCTTATTCTGACAGTAGCCTTATACTAGATGGTAAGAAACTTTTTTAGTATCTTTCTTTCTTATCGTGCTGCTGGTAGGATATCATAGAGGTCTGATTTGATTGATCTCACGTTGGTCCTTACTTGTTTACTTGTGTGAAGGACCGACATCACTGCACAAGGGGCATTCCCATAAGCGCTCCGTCCCCTGAAGAAGCACATCTCGAAGTGTGTAGATGCTGACGGTTCCAAGCAATGGTTGATTCCATAGCCTTCTGCTCCTCCCACTCAGTCTTGAACTTCTGCAGGCGCCCCATCCAATTTCAAGCTCACGAAGTCGCTCAAGATGATGGTATTCCGTCTCTTCTTGTTCTTTTTCTCTTTTTTCCTTGACTGACGTTTATGCCCAGTGCACATTGCAAATCAAATTCAATTGATTGAGTTGGGACCAGATTTAGCATCTTGATATGACAAAAAGCCACTGTTTTAGCACAATACGACCGATTCGACCTGTGACCTTAAAAAACAGACTCATTAAAATTAAGCTGAAGGTCTTAGTTTAGTTTAGTAAAGAGTTTTACGGCACTTGCAACACAATAAGGTCATATAAGTGCCGAAGATTAGAGGTGTTACAAGAGAGTAACAACAAACGTAAAAAAGAAGGAG